TTCCCCCACCCGGCGCCCTTCCGATCTGACCCGTTTCCCGTACGGATCCCCCCCTGCCGGCGTGCAATTGCCGTGTTGCCTGGGGTGGGGGGGGGGGGGGGGGGGGGAGGGAACCATAAACTTTTCAACTTGGAGCAGAGTACGAACTGATGCAGGAGCATCTTCCTGAATCTGCAGACAGACTTTTCCAGTGCCTCTGCTGCTGCAGGGAAGAGTTCTTTTCAGCAACAGCATGAAATTAAGACGAGGTGGGTCAGTTTCAAGCATTTAGTCTCAGCACCTCAGGGAAACTCAAGAACCACGTCAATTTCAAGTTGGGCGCTCCAGTGGTCTGCAGCAGGGAGGGCACAAACCAAGACGGCTGTGGGAAGAAGCACAGCAGCACAAACCCCCTCTCCTTGCAATAGGCAGGAGATTCTCCAGACAGGCAAATCCTTCGCCCTTCCAGCAGCTTCACATTTACCAGACCCCTATCACCCAGCCCTGAGAAAGAGCACTGAGCATGGTCCAGGGCAGCACATTGGTAAGAATCCCAGAGCCAGGGAGGGAATGGGGGTTGGCTACTGCTTCACACTAGGGAGTTGCCCTTATACCCTGCAGACGCCTGCCCACCTGCTCAGATTTTCAGGCTGGTCTCTGGCTAATAGTTTCAAATCTCTGGTGACGTTTTCCTAGCCCTGTTTATAAAGCGCAGAGACTAGATTCGGCTTCATCCGAGTTGTACCAGGATGCACAGTAACTTGAGCTTTTAGCTCCAAGATTTAAGTGTGTGGGATGTGGCTTGCAAAGGGGTTTACTGATTTTCTCCCTTTTCTGTCAATAGAAATGAACAAGTTGGGCGAGCTGCCTCTTCCTCTGTTTTAAGGTCACCCTTTGCGATGGAGAAACAGAGAATCCAGAGCCACAAAGTATTTTTTTTCCTTTCTGTGAAATAATATCAGGAAATGCGACCTTATAACCTCAGTCATATTCACTACTGGGCAGACTCCTGCTTTGATTCTCTAGTCGCATTTCCTGAGAAATTGTTGTACCTTTGTTTTAGTCTCTGATCACTTAGTAGTCAAGCAATAAGGTGACAGGCAGAGTACGCGAGGCGAGAGGGTACGCAAGGCACTGTACGTACGATGCACAAGGCAAAAGGTTGAGCAACTTCAGTTTTGAGTGCAAAATTCACCCAGAAATACATGGCCACTTTCTGATTCCCTTTATCAAACTGAACTTACAAACACAGCCAGGAGGAGAGTTTTTGTTTTACAAGTGCTGTCCCAAGTCCAAAGGCACCTCAGATAGGGAACAGTCGGACGTACTGGCCAGTGCAGCTATGGTCATGTCATTACATGCCGTCAGGAAGCTTTAATGGTGCGCCGAGCTGAACGCCATTTCTTAACAAGCTGCACAATTCAGAGTTTGGGGGGAAAAATCAAGAGAGAATTTTCAGCCTCGGAGAAATCGGCCCTGCTCCATTTCTCTAAAGCCAAACAGAAGAAAACCTCTGAACACATGGATGAATAAATCCTGTTTACACGGCTAATCTGACAGCAATCCAGATCCAATGGGAACTATACAATCCAGCAAGTCACTTAGCTCATTTTAACAATTTGCAATTTAACTCAAATAATGGGTCTCGACATAATATTAGTCATTTGGCCCTTGGGGACCAAGTTCATATTTAGAGAAACATTTTATTGCTACATTAAGCCAGCCACTTAGTGAGCTAGCTCCTCCAATGCATTTTAATTACAGGACTCTTAATACCTACACGCAGCTTTAGTGTATACCATCTCCAAGCGTTTGCATTAAACAATATGCAGAGGGGGACACACCCCCTGTGACAGGCACGTGGAGATCCCAGCAATGAGCTAGCGCTCCAGAGAAAGGGAGGGCGATTCCCCACCAGCCCCACGACTTAGTGTTTGTCACCCAAGTAAAAGCCTCTCCCTCCTGCCAAGGCCCAAACTGAGACACGCATGAACCAAGCCCCACCGTAAGGGACAGTGCAGATCAGGCGTGGAGGTGGGCTCCATTTCTGTAACGCCTCTGGACAGAGCAGCCCAGAACACGCTGTCAAGCTCAGCCCTGACCTGGCCGAGCAGCAGGTGAGACGCAGCCCTCTATTTTTCATGCCTCTATGGCACGATTCTCCGTAACCTCACAGCGTCCTGGTGTAAAATGACGGACACTAGTAACCCTGCGCTGATGAGCAAAGCTTGGTGTGGAGGCAGATTTGGGTCGGTAAAGTTGGAGAATTACACTGACCTAGGCAAGGCACATTTCTGTAGTGAGGAAGAGGGTAACAATGGAGCTGGGCTGTACCTAGGGCCTGGGCAATGAGTGTCTTTCATCAGCTAGTGCTTTTCTGAGGGAGGGAGCAGAGCAGGACTGGGACAGAATCAGTTTTATTCTGTAGAGACAGCAGGGCTGAAAAGGGTTCATGGTATTTCTGTACCAGAAGCGTCTGCCCTAGCAGTGGGCGCTCTTCTCCAGCTCCCTAGCTGTTTTCTTCTGGAAACTTCATCCTTTAATATCACCCAAGAAACACAAAACACCTATCATTGGAGGCAGACCACCTCATTCACTGGTTTGCCTTCACCATGCAAACGTCACGAAGTGCACAGATGCCAAGGCAAACAGTCACTCAGGCTCCCCCCCATCCATTTTGCTCTCTCTTTTAAAAGCAGCATTAGGCACACGTGAAGTTAGTTATACCACCCATCAAAACGAGAGCAATGCAGTAACCTTATACACCGCCGCATTGTACAGCGGGGACCAACAAAGTTGCATGCTTGGTTGGATGTGTTAATAAATGACTGTCAGAGACTCAGGGGTTGAGTGGATGCAGGTGGATTGAAGCTATTCAGTTGCCTGTAGCATTCAGACCTCAGAGTCCCCGCCCAGCCATCAATCATTCATATTAAAACATCCTTAACCAGCTCAGTGTTATTTTATTTAAAAGGCTTTCTCTGGATGGCATCAGTTAGCACCCCCCCCCCCAAACCCTGGCAGAAAAGGGGCACGCACAGAATGGCTCCTCTTGCAAACACCGCATCTATGTTATTCTTTGAGGCCCAGCCAAATCTTCTGACCTGGCACCAACCAAGAGAAATGTCTCACCTAGGGCCGAGAGAGAGAAATATTCAGTGACCCTATTCGGTTCCCTCAGCCTCCAGGTCTCCCCACATTGCCGGCTGAGAAATCACATGTGCAGAGCTTGGCAAATCACTGGAATGGATTCAGCCTCTGGTCCAAAAACGACCCTTCAATATGTTTTATACCACGCCCGAAAATGCCCCATCACCCGCAATCCCAGCGCCAGGTGGGAGTTCCCGTGCACCCCAGGGCACCCCAGCCCCCCGCAATCCCAGCGCCAGACGCGCAGCGTAGGTGGAGGGGGGGGAGCGGAAGCTCGTTTGCTCTCCCCCAGGCCGGTAGAGACGGAAATGGATGCAGAACGCTGAGCTGTGCACCCCCCCGCCCCAGGTCTGTGTGCATGCACCCCCCCCCATTGCTCTGCCATGCTAGGAGCGCCCCCCCCTCCCGTGCAGCCAGGAGCCCCGCCCGGTGCATCCCCCCGGTGTCAAATGAAGGTTATCGCCCTGCACGCGGGGGCCGGGCCGGGCCGGGCCGGGCGGGGCTGCCCGGGGAGGGCCAGCCGGGGGGTGGGCGGGGGGCGCGCGCTCACCTCCAGATCGCGCTCCCCAGGCTTCTCTTGCACCAAATGCAGCAGCAGCGCGCGCGGCCCCGGCAATTGCAGAGCCCGGCTGACGTCGCCAGCATTCCGAAGGGGCGGGGACCGGTATGCAGATGAGAAAGTGACGTCAGGAGGCCGGAGACGACCCATTCCGAGCTTCTCCCTCAGGCTCCGGAGGAGGCGGGCTCTCACCCAGTCTTGCGCGATGATAGGTTCGCACTAATGATTGACAGCATAAAGGTGCACCCATTCGACGCTTTCGTGAGCTTTTGAGTGACAGCCTCGAGCCTCCTAGGGAGGCCAGCTGGCCTGGTCCCTCAGGGATGGCAGAGCCCCCTCAAGGCAATGGCTGTTACTGGCACATGACGTGCCACCCCTCCACACCATGGGGCAGTGGTACGAGCCAGCACTATCAAGCTATATCGCACCCCCACAGGGTACAGTGGTATGAGCTGGTTCTCACCCTCTCCCCTGTCAGGACTGGCACCATCCTGCACAAGGGGCAGTGGTATGAGCCGGATCACACCATGTCCTCTGTCACAATAGGACTGCCCACAGCAAGCCCGCACACGTCATCTCCCCGTCACAACAGGTTCATCCCCCGAAGGGATAGTGGTACAAGCCACCATATGTGCCACCTCCTCTGTCACATTTCCCACCTGCCCCCAGAGGAGATAATGGTATGAGCTGCCAGTTCCCTCTGTCCCAACGTGTCATCCCCCCATTGGGATGGTGGTACGAGCCGCCACAGGCCCTCTCTCCTGTCCCAACACGTCATCCCCCGATGGGACAGTGGTACGAGCCGCCCCAACCCGTTCCCCATTTCATCTCCCTATGGGACGGTGGTACGAGCCACCCCAGCCTGCTCCCCCGCCTCAACATGTCACGCCCCATGGGCCGGTGGTACGAGCCATACCGGACCCGCTCCCCTGTCACAGTATGTCATCCCTGCCCCAACATGTCACCCCTCCATGGGACAGTGGTATGAGCCACCCCCAGGCCCGCTCCCCTGCCCCAACATGTCACCCCCTCCTGAGTCGGTGGTACGAGCCGCCCCAGCCCGCTCCCACGCCCCAACATGTCACCCCC